CACACTTGCAATCATCCTAGTTTGTGTTTAGTTATCTACTGTGATAGAATGAAGCAAACATTGAACTTCCGTTGTCCAATTCACGGTTGGGCTACCACCTTCGATAGGAGAAATGCCCCAATGATCGTCGTAATGGCAAACGCACAAAACTGTGTAACCGACTAGCAGCCATTGCTGAACTGCGGAATACCAGTTAGAAGCTTGTCTGTCTACCACACCATGTTTAGGCCGCTAAATAAGCCAACACCAGGTAGTCGTTAGCCAGCACTAAGTATAGACCGCTTCGTGTGCTGGTTAGTATGTCTGTCCGCACTGGTTACGGCCTAAGCTTCGGATCATATGGTAGCTAGGACCTCCTCCTTAGATAAGCATCACAAGTTGCCCATTGGACGGTTTCAGTTTGGAGAACAATCATCGAGGTTTCCTTCAGACAGGCAACAAAATAGAACCGAAGGTGGTGCTCGACCACTTTCAGTGGCCTGTCTGTCGCTTATGCTGGGGTCTTCCAACCGGTGTCCCATTGCCTAACGTCCCATAACCAATGTGAGTGTCAATGACGCCAAAACAGCGTTCTTAGCCTCGCTAACTTGAAAGCACTGCACGCGATTTCGTAAATGGGCCACGCTACTAGCTTGGTACAGTGCGCTAACGCGTGTGTAAAAGGGCATAGAGAACACGGAAGTCATCTGTGCAGACGGGCGATGGCCCGTACTTTAATCCCTGCCGGTGGCGCACTCGAGGGTCTCCGTCCCATGGATGTTCCTGTCCGCTTCCTTGAGGTACTATTCATCAACCTGCGTAGCCTAAGAAACAATGTGCACGAGTTGGGTCCACTTGTTGACAAATCCCGTCCGACATACTTGCTTTCACTGATACGGGGTAGTCTTCGGACATCAGGGACGGTAAGGTTTTTTTACCTGGCTACGCGCCGCTTAGGACTGCTGGCTCCGTTGGTCGTCAAGTCCGAGGCATTGTACTGTATGTGAGCTGTAACTTGGATGTGTTGATTACCTGCACATTCCAGTCGTTGGATCAGGTTGTTGAAGCCCTATCGGCTGTTTTGTGCACTTCTCTATCCATGTTACAGTAGTAATGATATGCAGGAGTCCTGGTTGTTCTTCCAGGGGATAATTGACTCTTATTCACCCTCACTCCGCGAATAGGTGTTTAGTCCTGGTCGATTGTAACCTCCCGGAATTCCGTTTGGCCGATCTGCCTTGCAATTCGGCGTCAGGAACTCTCAGTGTAGCTTTTCAAGAGCTGACTTTCCAAGTGCCTTCGTACCAGTTCGTGGACTTGCCTACTAACTACATGTACAACCAAATATCATTCTACTGTAGCTCCGATTTTCTCTGATCCTCACCTTCGTGACTGCTACTTCGTACAGTGCACCTCTAAAGTCCAGCGATCACGCATGCATGTCACTCGCGTGTGCTCTCTCAAGGCACTAAACCAGACCGTCGTTGAATTACTTCCGAATATTTGGCGGGCGGACTTCATTTGCAATACTAGCTAAGGCATCAGTGCTGAACTGTGAGCTCTCGGTGGGCCACTCTGTTTAGTTAGCCTTGGATCGATTCAAGGAGGTTTCTACTCCATAGATTCCACTCATGGGGAAAAGAGGGTTACGGGCCAAGCCTCCATGAATAAATACAACAGGCAAGTACCTACCCAAGAAACGGTCTAGATGCTGGCGAACCCACCAAGCAGCTCCAACAGCCAGTACCTATGATAGTTACGGAGAGACTAGAAATAAGTGTAAGCGACCTCTCAGGACTGTTCGCCTCCAGTACGAGCAGTGTTTAGCGGACTCCTTTGCAGCTACTCCCAAGAAGTACTTGCTTAAGTTACCAGAAGCAGCGGGGCAAAACTGTTTATACCATCGTTATTAAGAGCAGACGGGACCAGTGCGTAAGCTTACTGTGACAAGACTTGTATAAGTAATAATCAGCATACTGGCGCCTTTTGCTCGGGGGACCTCTTTACCACAGGTTGAATTGGTTTCGAGAGTTCCAGAGGATTCCTGCTTAGCTGAATTTAATACGACGGAGAGTGAGGTCTTCGAGCTACTGCAAGGCATTTATCCCCTAATTCTTCCGGTTCTGATTCAATTTATCTGAAACTGATGCATGAATTCGCTACTGAGCTGGGTGGTCCTCCCCCATGCATGTTTTTACTATGGCTTGACAGCTGCGTCCTACCTTCGTAGTGGAAGGAGATAATCAACTGT